TTTTGGTCTTCACTGATAATACTTGGAAAAACAGGCTTAATTCTGTTGTCAATGACAGCAGCAGCAATTGATTTTTAGAAGCGAAATGGGTCGCCAGTTCTTTAAAAACCTTTTGGGCTTATTTTCTTTAGGAATACATGTTATAAGTCCCTGTTTCTGGGAGACAGATAAATTTCGAGTTCGAAAAGCAAAATTCAGTGATTTAATCAAGAATTCGACAAGATCATTCCAATTTGTTTTTAAAATTTCGGTTGTAAAACCGTCAGGACCTGGGCTTTAATCATTTTTCATATTTTTTAAGGCTGTCAAGACTTCACCTCTTGTTAATTCACCTTCAATACTAGATGTTTGTTCATCACTTAGTTTTGGTAAGGTAATATCTTTTAAAAGTTCATCTAGAACTATAGGACTTACATCTTGTTGTGTATATAGTTTTTCATGAAAAGATTTCACCTCATTTGATAGAGTGTCAAGGTCATTTAGGAATGTAGGCATACTTGACTTGGACGGAGTTTCCTGTTAGGACATATTTGACGTGGACGGAGTTAACTGTAAGGACATACTTGACGTGGACGGAATTTGTTGTTAGGACATACTTGACGTGGACGGAATTTGTTGTTAGGACATACTTGACGTGGACGGAATTTGTTGTTAGGACATACTTGATGGGGACGGAGCTTCTTGTGAGGACATACTTGTCATGGACGGAGTATCCTGTTAGGACATACTTGACAAGGGCGGAGTTTGCTGTTAGGATATACTTGAAGCGGACAGAGTTTGTTGTTAGGACATGCTTGATAGGGACGGAATTTCCTGTTAGGACATACTTGATGTTGGCGGAGTTTCCGTTTAGGACATACTGACGTAGATGGAGTTTGCTCTTAGAACATACTTGACGTGAACGGAGTAACATCTTATAACTGATGTGTATACTGATGTGGGCCGAGTATCCTGTTAGGACATACTTGACAAGGGCGGAGTTTGCTGTTAGGATATACTTGAAATGGACAGAGTTTGTTGTTGGGACACTCTTGACGTGGATGATTATCCTGTTAGGACATGCATGACGTGCGCGGAGTATCCTTTTAGGAGATACTTGACTTCTACAGAGATTTCTGTTAGGACATAGTGACGTGTGCGGAGTTTCCTGTTTGGACATACTTGCTGCGGACAGTGTTTGTTGATGGGATATACTTGAAGTGGACAGAGTTTGTTGTTAGGACATACTTGACGAGGGTGATTATCCTGTTAGGACATGCCTGACGTGCGCGAAGTATCATGTTAGGACATACTTGACTTGTACGGAGTTTCCTGTCAGGACATGGTGTCGTGGGCGGAGTTTGCTGTTAGGACATACTTGCTGTGGACAGTGTTTGTTGTTAGGACATACTTTACTTGAACGGAGTATCGTGTTAGAACATACTTGAGATGGACGAATGTTGTTGTTAGGACAAACTTGATGTGGAACGAGTTTCCTGTTAGGACATATTGAATAATACGAAGTTTGCTGTTAGGACATACTTGACGTGGGCGGAGTTTCCTGTTACAACATACTTGACGTAGACGAATTTTGTTGTTAGGACATACTTTATATGGACGAAGTTTGCGGCTAGGATATACTTGACGTGGGCGCAGTATCATGTTAGGACATACTTGAAGTGGGCGGAGTTTCCTGTTAGGATATACTTGACATGGGTGATTATCCTGTTAGCACATGCATGACGTGGACGGAATTTGTTGTTAGGACATACTTGACGTGGACGGAATTTGTTGTTAGGACATACTTGATGGGGACGGAGCTTCTTGTGAGGACATACTTGTCATGGACGGAGTATCCTGTTAGGACATACTTGACAAGGGCGGAGTTTCCTGTTAGGACATACTTGCTGTGGACAGTGTTTGTTGTTAGGACATACTTTACGTGAATGGAATATTATGTTAGGACATATTTGACTAATACGAAGTTTCCTGTTAGGACATGCTTGACATAGACGGACTTTGTTGTTAGGACATACTTGACATGGACAAAGTTTCCCGTTAGGACATATTTGACGTGGGCGGAGTATCTTGTTAGGACATACTTGACGTTTGCGGAGTTTCCTGTGAAGACATACTTGACGTGGACAGAATTTCCTGTGAGGACATACTTGACGTTGGTGAAGTTTCCCGTTAGGACATATTTGACGAGGACAGAGTTTTGTGTTTGGACATATTGACGAGGACGGAGTTTGCTGTTAGGACATACATGACGTGGGTGGAGTTTCTTGTGAAGACATACTTGACGTGGACGGAATATCCTGTTAAGACACACTTGACTTGGGTGGAGTTTCCCTTTAGGACATGTTTGACGTGGACGGTGTGTGGAGTTGGGACATACTTGACGCGGACGGAGTTTTCTGTTTGGACATACTTGACGTGAGCGGAGTATCCTGTTAGGACATACTAGACGTGAATGGGGTATCATGTCAGGACATACTTGATGTGACGCGGAGAATCATGTAGGGAGGTGGTTGACGTGGGCGGAATTTCCTATTTAGGACTTGCTTGACGAGGACAGAGTTTGTTGTTAGGACATACTTCACATGGACGCAGTTTCCTGTTAGGACATACTTGTCGTGAACGGAGTATCCTGTTAGGACATACTTGACGTGGGCAAAGTGTCCCATTAGGACATATTTGTCCTGGACGGAGTTTTCTGTTTGGACATGACGTGGGTGGAGTACCCTGTTAGGACATACTAGACGCAAACGGGGTATCATGTTAGGACATACTTGATGTTAGGACATGTTTGACGTGGACGGAGTTTCCTGTTAGGACATACTTGTCGTGAACGGAGTATTCTGTTATGACATGCTTGACGTGTGCGGATTTTCCTGTTAGGACATACTTGACGTGAATGGAGTATCCTGTTAGGACATATTTGACGTGGACGGAGTATCCTCTTAGGACATATTTGACGTGAACGTAGTTTCCTGTTGGGATATTTTGATATTGACGGAGTTTACTGTTAGAATATACTTGACGTGGGTGGAGTATCCTGTTAGGACATACTAGACGTGAACGCGATATCATGTTAGGACATACTCGATGTTAGGAATCCTGACGAGAGATACTTGTCGTTAACGGAGTTTCCTGTTAGGACATACTTGTCGTACACGGAATTTCCTTTTAGGACATACTTGACGTGAATGGAGTATCCTGTTAGGACATATTTGACGTGGACGGACTATTCTGTTAGGACATATTTGACTAATACGAAGTTTCCTGTTAGGACATACTTGACATTGACCGCGTTTGTTGTTAGGACATACTTGAGAAGGACGAATTTTGTTGTTAGGAAATAATTGACGTGGACGAAATTTCTAGTTAGGACATACTTGACATGGACGGAGTTTCTTATTAGGACATACTTGATGTGTGCAGAGTTTCCTGTGAAGACATTCGGTATTTCCTGTAAGGACATACTTGACATGGGTGGAGTTTCCCTTCAGGACATGTTTGACGTGGACTGTGTGCGGAGTTGGGACATACTTGACATGGACGGAGTTTCCTGTTAGGACATACTTGACGTGGTTGAAGTTTCACGTTAGGACATATTTGACGTGGACAGAGTTTTCTGTTTGGACATACTTGACAGGGGCGGAGTATCCTGTTAGGACATACTTCATGTGCGCGGAGAATCCTGTTGGGTGATGGTTGACGTGGGCGGAATTTCCTATTTAGGACATCCTTGACGTGGACGGAGTATTATGTTAGGACATACTTGACGGGGGCAGAGTTTCCTGTTAGGACATACTTGTCATGAACGGAGTTTCCTGTTAGGAAATACTTGACTTGGGTGAAGTTTCCCGTTAGGACATATTTGACGTGGACGGAGTTTTCTGTTTGGACATACTTGACGTTGACGGAATTTCCTGTTAGGACATACTTGACGTGGGTGAAGTTTCCCTTCAGGACATATTTGACGTGGACGGAGTTTTCTATTTGGACATACTTGATGTGCGCGGAGAATCCTTTTGGGAGATGGTTGACGTGGGCGGAATTTCCTATTTAGGACATGCTTGACGTGGACGGAGTTTCCTGGGAGGACATACTTGTCGTGAACGGAGTATCCTCTTAGGACATACTTGACATGGACGGAGTTTCCTTTTAGGACATAAATGACGTGGGTGAAGTTTCCTGTTAGGCCATATTTGACGTGGACGGAGTTTTCTGTTTGGACATACTTGACGTGGGCGGAGTTTGCTGTTTGGACATACTTGACGTGGGTGGAGTTTCTTGTTAGGACATACTTGACGTGGGCAGAGTATCCTGTTAGGACATGTTTGACTAATACGAAGTTGGCTGTTAGGACATGTTTGACTAATACCAAGTTGGCTGTTAGGACATGCATGACGTGGACGTAGTTTTCTGTTAGGACGTACCTGACGTTGGCGGAGTTCCCTGTTAGGACATATTTGACGTTAACGGAGCTTCTTTTTAGGACATACTTGACTTGTACGGAGTTTCCTGTTAGGGCATGCTTGACGTGAAAGGAGTTTGCTGTTAGGACATACTTGACGAGGACGGAGTTTCCTGTTAGGACATACTTGACATGGACGGAGTTTGCTCTCAGGACATACTTGACGTGGGGAAGTTTCCTGTTCGGACATACTTGACGTGGACGGAGTTTGCTGTTCACGTGGACGGAGTTTCCTGTTACGACATAGTCGACGTGGATGGAGGTTCTTCTTCAGCTGAACTTGATGGTGTTGTCTCTTATACATTAGTTATGTAAAAAATATACATGAGACATCGGCTGTTACCAGCGATCAAACCTCGATCTAACATGACCTGAGCCGAATGTTAATGACTGACTCTTGAATGCTTGTAGCCACAAGGCGTTCATAGGTTGAAGACGTCATATTATTAAGTGGATACCAGGATTAAAAACGAGTGGAAAAAACTTGTACGCAAGGTGTACCTCAGCAGCGACCTGATGCATACTGATTCTCCCGCAGCCACTACACGGACCCATGTCACTGCCTGAACTTCTTCAAGCACAGCGGAACGTGCCCTCCCTTTCTGACGGCTAATGGCCTCCCATGCACCTGTCCCTTCAACCCCGACAAGCTTAGTCTACCGGCCTCCAAGTTCACCGTCACTGGCATCAATCGTGCCTGGAAATTGGTGTTAGAGGATGTAAGTAAAGTTTGGTAACCAAGTCATGGGTTTGACTGCCATCAATGTTTCTCAAACATGCGATGCTAAGGATCAGTTGTACAGGCGACGAAACACATCTATAATGTCAGAGATAGTTTAACAATATATTTACTGACAGTTTTCACCTAAACGAGTTTTCTTTTCTTTGAGAGGCATCGACCGAAAATAGTTTGAAAACTCGATTAAACTTCCTAATTTATCTGACGAGACAGATGTTCAATGTTTGGATATTTTGTAAATCGTTTTATAACATATCATTCCAGAGCGAATACCACGTGAAGATCACCGTGAACGAAAAGCCCAGTGGTCAACTTCGTGGTTGCTTAGAGGTGTACCTAAATATCAATGTCAAGCAATGAGTCCAGTCGGATACATGTGTTTAGATTTGTTTGAGTGGCATTTTAGAAGTTGAGACGTACAATATATAACAAGTTTTATGGATAACAACTTCTTTATTTTCGTGAGTGCGACGTTTCGATACAGATTCTTGTACCGTTGTCAAGCAAGAGTGATACACTTCATGTATCACTCATGTATCACTCTTGCTTGACAACGGTACAAGAATCTGTATCGAAACGTCGCACTCACGAAAATAAAGAAGTTGTTATCCATAAAACTTGTTATATATTATAATGTGTTTAGATGATCAGAATAAAGACAATGCATACCGAACGATGGGTTTCTGTCAGTTCAGGAAAGTCTTTGCCTCTTGTTTCTATTATCTTAATATTTAGTTTAAAGGAGTAACGAATGCATTCTTGGCTTTCGATGTGACAAATCTGAAGGTATATCTATCAACGGTGATCCTGTATAATTACAGTGTAGCGTGGAGATGGATGTAGCTGGACGAGTCTAGTGTTTGCTGTGGTAAACGTCTTGACATTCCACATCGGTTTTAAACTGTCTCTATTCGTGGAATCCAAAGAGGGGTGGAGGATATCATGCAGATTCTGCCCCAGGTCGGCGACATAAAGTATCTACCAGCCTTCGAGTGTTTCGTGTAAGCGACAAACAGCAGTCGATAATTATAAAAAGGTAGAGTCCGAGGTACATATACGACTTCATCATCAGCCCACCTGTCGGGAACACTAGCAGTTATGATGCAGAGTGTTCAGTGGTGGGCAAAGCAGATAGTATATTATCGTTAGTATGTACGACCATATTTGCAGATTTCGTATTGCATTGTGGGCTTCTGTATCTCAAAGCAACCAATCAATGACAAGGACACAACTGTAAACGATTGACAACTCTGGTTGAAAAGTTTTAAAACAAATAATGGAGACCATATGATACTATTAAAGATAATCAGATCCAATTTCTCATGCATCTTGTAGTAAAAGTAATAGTCCGCTTATATGGCGCTCATATCCAGGCACATTGCCTGCTCACGGTACTACGTACATTACTGTCCCCTGTGATAGGACACTATCATACTTTTCGATACTTTTTCAACTCCCTGGGGTCATACAGCCATGCTGCCTGTTTGGCACAATGAACTAAACCCTTACATTGCCAGCACATCCTCACGGGTACCTGAGACAATGTGCATCTACGTATCTTGTCCAAGGATAGAACGCAAATGTGCCCACCTCGGAACCCGAACTATGTGACTCCACCGGGGATCGAACCCGGGCCTTCAGCGTGTTAGGTAGATGCCTTATCACTGGACCATTGTGCTCCACATCTTGTCAAGTCACGAGAACCAAGGTACTGCGGTATATAGGACAACAGACGTAATCACACCCAGCGCCTAAACTGGCATCCAGAGACGTCACGAAGTGTTCATTGAGTCAAGAAGTGTTCATTGAGTCACGAAGTGTTCATTGAGTCACAAACTGTTCATTGAGTCACTAAATGTTCATTGAGTCACGAAGTGTTCATTGAGTCACGAAGTGTTCATTGGATCACGAAGTGTTCATTGAGTCACGAAGTGTTCATTGGGTCACGAGGTGTTCATTGGGTCACGAAGTGTTCCTTGGGTCACAAACTGTTCATTGAGTCACGAAGTGTTCATTGAGTCACGAAGTGTTCATTGAGTCACGAAGTGTTCATTGAGTCACGAAGTGTTCATTGAGTCACGAAGTGTTCATTGGGCCACGAAGTGTTCATTGAGTCACGAAGTGTTCATTGGGCCACGAAGTGTTCATTGAGTCACGAAGGAGATAACACCAACAATCCGTGATCACAGTTAGAACAAAGGACTGATTCTGATACTTGTACAGTAAGCTACATTTAATACGGATTCCAAAGGACAGCAACTTCTGATTCCTTATAACAGTATTTCGTAATATGCAATGCTACTAAAAACACACAATATGTGCCAGTTTGTGGTAAAAACAGTTCGCTATATCCGTCCGTTCATAATAAGCGTTTTGGTTTTAGACGCAGTGCTCTGTACAATACGTTCCTCAGGATGTCGACGTTATGTATTGGACACCAAACATACCACAAACATCCCTGCCACGAACAAAGGAACACCACCTGATACACGAGCAGTGGGAAGGTTGCATTTGGACGCCCGGTAACCATGTATGTGTTCAAGATACCGCACACAAACCTGGGTCTCTTCTGAAGAGAAACCGGCACGATATTGGATGTCCCGTACTGTGTCTCACCAGTGTCCTACAATCATTGACAGCTTGAGACGAACAGGTTCATGGAATGGACTTTAGCTGAAAACAGTGACAGTGTGCCCTGGGTAAACCTAACAGTGGACTGAATCACAAGGTGGAAGTTACCGTCACCACTGTATGTGAACCTATGTAATCCTACATGGAACAAAGGAATCCAGCATACAATCTGTAGGTTTTACAGAGTTATCAAGTCAACGACATGGGATGTAGTGATAACTGTTTAGTTGTAATGGTCGTATTCGGAGAGTCACATAGGTGGGGACAGTCACGTGCAAATGAGAAGAATTTAAGAATGTTCTTTATCATCACATACATGTATGCTGTTATTATTTGATATTGAAATATAATCTCGTCACCCCATTGTACCCACCCAGTCTCCATAGTATAGATGATAAACTGACCACCCTACTGACGTCATACTTCCACATGTATAAACCTTACGCATACCTTAAAGAAAGCACTGACGTGAGTGACAACACCAGCTGGCGAAATGACCGACATCAGCAGCCTCTCACACAATTTTACAAGAGTCAGTGCCCTGTCAATTATTTCGTTTTGTTTTTTTCTAGTTATTTGAAATTCTTGTCTTTACTGTTATGCTTTCGTTACTTCAATCATTTTATCATTACTTCATGAGAACATGAAACGAAATAACGAGAGAAAAATCGTAGTAACAAGAACAATACTCGAAATTTCGAGAAAATATTATCAAAAATCGTGTATACTGGAAGCAACGAGAAGATCGAGTAAAGGAATAACACTATACAGATACTGCATTAGGCTTTGGTAGATTGCTGAATTCTTTAGACTTAAACCGATCTGATATTTTCCACTTTCAGTTTCAGTATAGGTTGTAAAATCCAGGGCCACCTGACCATGGGATTCACATATCGGCGTTGTGTATATACAAGTATAGGTTGTACAATCCTGGGCCGCCTGACCATGGGATTCACATATCGGCGTTGTGTATATACAAGTATAGGTTGTACAATCTAGGGCTACCTGACCATGGTATTCATGACCATGTGTATATACAAGTATAGGTTATACAATCCAGGGCCACCTGCCAATGGGATTTACAGATCGGTGATGTGTATGTACAAGTATAGGTTGTACAATCCAGGGCCACCTGACCATGGGATTCACATATCGGTGTTGTGTATATACAAGTATAGGTTATACAATCTAGGGCCACCTGACTATGGGATTCACAGATCGGTGTTGTGTATATACAAGTATAAGTTGTACAATCTAGGGCCACCTGACTATGGGATTCACATATCGGTGTTGTGTATATAAGGCCGGGTGGGACAACTTGGGAATGGCCAGCGAGTCCTAACTTGACACATAGAAGGAAGCGAGCTACAAAGACATATTTTATATCATTGGAAAGATCTCGAGGAGATGAACTCAAAAAATTCATGTGCCAGTGCGCGCACGTGTTCATAAGCTCACAAATGGGCTCTGAAAATGCATTTCTGCAGAAATTACTGGCAGAATTATTTTTTTCCGCAAAAATGTCTGGCAGATTTTTTTTTTCCCGCAGAAATTTCTGGCAGAATTTTTTATTTCACTACCAGAATTATCTTAATTGAAAAATATTAGACACCATTTTAGGATAATTCAATATGGACTTTATTTAAATGATGTTACTTTCTCCTGTAAACAACTTCAAGTGGGAGGGGATAATCGTTCCCAGAAGTAGATCGCCGCACAAATCTTACAAGGCATATTTTAACATCTTATCAAGACGAAATGAAAATAAAAATAATATGGTGATTTTTTTATACATCTTTTATTCACGTTCTGTATAACATGAGTTTCACTGGACGAAGTTACAGTCATTTCATGTTAGACATGAGCCCTGTTGCCAAATGTTTCAGAGATAGATCCTCTCGGAGAAATATGTGTCCTATATATATATATAAATATTTGTCAGGGTTGAGATTGCGATCTGATCGGAGATTCTACCAGTAGAGACTTCGCAGTCTTTACCAGTATCCTACGGTCTACTCCCATTTGTGAGAACTTCCAGTTGTGAGACTCCCAGTTGTGAGACAGTGGAGTAGGTACTTAGGAAAGAAAACACACCTTACTCCCCTATCTGATAGAATGGATTAACCCCAGCTAATTATGGATTAGCTATTTAACTGAATCTTGTGGAGGTAACTTAATGAAACTCTAAAAGATAAAGTAATTAACCTACTCAGATAAATGGCTTTAAAAAATAAACACTTTGTGTAGGTAACTTCGTGATCATTTGAAAGAGAAATTAATTTACCTACTCAGATTTACGTGTTTGAAAAATCTAGCAATAACTGTTGTAACAATAATTAATCCAAATGTATTTATTAACCTTTGACTGCTCTTTCCGATCACCATTATGGCAGGCCTTCAACAAGTAGAATATATCACCAGTTCAGGATAATCTTTTTCAGTAATTCAGTATCTATTGAAAACAATAAATGCTCTTCAACGAACAATGTCTTCTGTGTCAATTAATTCATTAATGAACTATGCCTCCTGCGGGTACTCTTCAATAACAGGGCTGTTCAACAACAGGGCTGTTCCCACTTTCATCGTAGGGATGGGGAAGCACCACCTGTGTGCACTGAACCATTAATTAATGTGTCTCACAACTGGGAGTTCTCACAAATGGGAGGACACCGTATCCTACTAGTAGAGATTGAAATCGGATCCTACCTGTCAGATCCGATTCTACCAGTACAATTTCCAATTCAACTGGTAGAAACCCTGATTGTTCTGTAGGCAAACAACACTTTATTTGCTGAACAA